AGGAATCCGTACATTGGGGATCAAATAGGACTGATCCTCACCTGAGATTACTCTTAACCCCAAACCATAGACAAGAAAACACCAACAAATTGTTAACCACAGCCGAAAGCCTCTCATCAATTGGCATATTGCCTGAATCGTTTCAGGCTTTCATGACTAGAGTTTCATTCCATTGGGGGACATTTACTACTACTTGGAGAGCCTCTACTCCAGCGAGACTACAGTGACATTGAAGACTTGCCATCTCGCCTGTGCCCAGGGTCGGTGGAGTCGTGGGCACATTATGCCAGATCTGTCTTTGTGTCTGCCTCCCGGGAAGCCCCTCATGGAGGTCAGGCACATAAAAGGAAATACAATAAATAAATCACTTATTTTTACATGGTTAGACCACCATGTGTGCAGCACAACCTTCTCCCACAAGGGCCCTGGTCATGGAGCAGAATCCCTTGCTAGCCCAGTAGTTGACATGTACATTTGAATGTCCTATATATACATTTTACTTTTCAAAAGGAAACCAAGGCGATGCCAACCTTTTTCTCCTGCCCCTCCTTCCTTCCTTCCTTTCTGTCCCTGCCTACCCTCTTTGCACCTCTCCAACCCTCCCCCCCCCTCCCCAAACAGGTCCAGCATGCCAGCAAACAGATCAGTGCTGACAAGCAGTACAAAGGGATCATGGATTGTGTGGTGAGAATCCCCAAGGAGCAGGGCTTTCTCTCCTTCTGGAGGGGCAACCTGGCCAACGTGATCCGTTACTTCCCCACCCAAGCTCTCAACTTCGCCTTCAAGGACAAGTACAAGCAGATCTTCCTGGGGGGCGTGGACCGCCATAAGCAGTTCTGGCGCTACTTTGCTGGTAACCTGGCTTCCGGTGGGGCAGCTGGGGCCACTTCCCTCTGCTTTGTCTACCCGCTGGACTTTGCTAGGACCAGGCTGGCTGCTGACGTGGGCAAAGGTTTGGCCCAGCGTGAGTTCAGTGGTCTGGGCGACTGTCTTACCAAGATCTTCAAGTCTGATGGCCTGAAGGGTCTCTACCAGGGTTTCAGCGTCTCTGTCCAGGGCATCATCATCTACAGGGCTGCCTACTTCGGAGTCTATGATACTGCCAAGGGTGAGAATGGGGCCAGAGGGTGGGGAGCAGGGAGGCAAAGGGTGTGGGGATTCACAGCTCACAAAAGGCTTCGTGTTCATTTATCCTGTTGTTTTCTAGTCACTGGGCTAAGTCGAACCTTCTGAATGAGGAGGTGATGTGGTATAGATGATTTAAGAACCCTGGGATTCTCTTCCTCCTCTCTTTATGGAATTAACTTCAGCCTGGAGTTATCCAAAGAGGAGGAAAAGGCAGCCCAGCTCCCTCTAGATTCAGCTGGATCACTTACCAGAGCTGAAGTTCAACCTACTGAGACAAGCTCTGGCATCCCTGGATCCAGAGGGGGCAGCTACCATCGTGGGTCGGCCGCCTTGCTGTTTGAAAAGCATCCTGCCAGGGGCAGGCTCTTCCTGAAGGGCTGGGCAAGGGGGGTTCACTTCACGGCCAGTTGTCTTCTTGGCTCTGCCCACAGGGATGCTGCCTGACCCCAAGAACGTGCACATCTTCGTGAGCTGGATGATTGCACAGAGCGTCACAGCGGTCGCGGGTCTGGTGTCCTATCCCTTTGACACCGTCCGTCGTAGGATGATGATGCAGTCTGGCCGGAAAGGAGGTAAGCCTGAGGCCTTCGAATCTCAGCTACCCATACGGTTCCCTTGGAAAGCAGACTCTCACTGTTCCATGCAGTCCTCATTACCCTGGATTGATGGTTAACATTGTTTGATGAGTGGAGGAAAGGAAGAGATCATTAATGGCCCGTAACATCCACCATGCTGTGGGCTAAGCATTGGGCTGCCGGCCCCAAGGCTGGCAATTCAAACCCAGTAGCTGAGAGAGAGGAAGAAAGATGAGGCTTCTCCCAGGAAGGTTTATGGGAAGTCCTACGAAGCAGCTCTACTCTGTACTGTAGGGGAATTGACTCAATAGCAGTAGCTTTGTTTTTCTTTTCCATTTTTGAGCGTTCACAATGAGATGCTGTGCTTAAGCGTTTAGCAGCTAACCATAAGGTCAACTGTTCAAACCTACCAGGCACTCCTTGGGAGAGAGAGCTGGCAGCCTTCTGTCCCACGGGGTCGCTGAGTCAGAATTGACTTGCTGGTAGCAGATGTGTTTTGTTTGGAACATTTAGAGGACCTTCTTTGGTTTTTTATTAAAGAGAAATGAAAACATTGAAAAGGAAGTAGTTCGAGGCAATCAGAAGGAAATATCTGGGATTATAGAAGCCTTCGACGTTCTCTCTTTACAACCAGCTTGTGGAAACAAGAAAATCCAAACAACTGACTAATTTATTTAAAAATAACACGTATCTGTTAGTGAATGTTAGAGCATCGGGGCCAGCTGAGGAGTCTGTTATGATGGGAACAGGTCTGGCTTTTCTAGACTGAAACATGAAGGTAAAAATTGTTTTTTGGCTGGAGGCCGTGGTAGACAGTTTTTAATAGTTTAACCTAACAGTTAAGAAGTTGTACTTCTTAACTGTTTTGGGGTAGTGCTGTCTAAGACTAGACCTCAGTTTCTGCCTCTGTAACAAGGGGACCAGAGAGCCCCCCACACTCCTGCTCCATTCTGCTCCCATACTCCTTTGTTCACGGTGCTGTGGGTTAGTTGGGTAATTGCCAAGGGTGTTTGCTGACTCAGGAGTCAGAGGAGCAGCACCGTCAAGAGGCCTGGCCTCACAGCTCGGCAAGGGAGCAGCTGTCCAGTTGAAAGCTGCACAGAGTTGTGGCTTCAAGGCCGAAGTGGCTTTTGTTTTTAAAACTGATCACGTTGGGTACAGATGCCATTCGGAGGGAAAGTCTTTCCCACCACCACCACCACCCCAGAGTTAAGGATCCCTTACTATTTGTTTCCACAGCCGATATTATGTACTCCGGGACAGTCGACTGCTGGAGGAAGATTGCAAAAGATGAAGGAGCCAAAGCTTTCTTCAAGGGTGCCTGGTCCAACGTGTTGAGAGGCATGGGGGGTGCCTTTGTATTGGTATTGTATGATGAGATCAAAAAATATGTGTAATCTAATGAAAGCCCGCATTCACGGGTTCCAGATCCATGTGTGTTCTAAAGACTTTTCCCACCCAGAAGTGAAAAGACAGATCTGGGATAAAACCAGACTGGAAAATGAACACCTCAGAAAGAAAGAAAAAAAAAAGCTTCATTGAGTGTTCATTAAACCACAATGCATTTTGTATTTATTTTACATTTAAAGTTCCACAGAAAATAGAAAATAACTTATCATACTTGTAAAATTAACTGAAGAAAAAAACTGAATATCAAACATCAATAAAGACCACTTAATGCATGTTCTCTGTTTACATATGGAATTTCTATTATCTATGAAATGGATTTGTAAAGGAAGACTCTAGATGCATATTTTGTAGTATGAATCGTTTGTAAACCAGTGTCCGCACGTGTAGGTGTCAGGATACTAAATATATGAGTACCTACTAAATATATGAGTACTTAAAGCCCTGGTTTTCAAATGTAAGCAAGTTAAGCGGGGACTTGCTCCTTTAGCTGACCTCATACAAAGGGGCCTTAAAGGGTTGGCGGCAAAGCGGAATGAAAAGATCAGGGGATATCACCCCCGCCCCCACCCCACCTCTTGTGGCTGTTGCTGGAGGCCTAGAAGTGACACCACCCACACGGGGTTACACTTTATGTAATTTCAGGCAGACTTCGGGGATTCTTACCTTCTGTTTAAAACCTTTAAATCACAGTTCCAGGGATTTTTACATAATTAGGTGCCTAGATGGCGCAAAGGGTTAAGCACTTGACTGTGAACTGTAAGGTTGGGGCTTCAAGCCCAGAGAGGTGCCTGAGAAGAGAGACCTGGCGATCTGCAGCCTTGGAGACCTTGTCTGCACACGTGGCAGCCGCAGGAGTCTGAGTGGCTGGGCGGCAGCCAACAACAACAGGAAGTGTTCCGTTTTCCAGCCGGGGAACCCAGAATCTCATGGCAAGGGAAGCACGTTCACTGAAAACCAGTTAAAATCTATTTAACTTTATGGAAAACTTTTTTAAACGACACAAACCTGACCTGTAAGAAGCTGAAATGGCGTTGAGGTAGATGGGTGGAATGGTTTTATTAGATAATAAAATGCTTCACAATGAATCTTGGCCAATCCTGGCTCCCTTGGGAGCATGCAGGGAGATGCCACCATAGCAGGGCGGAAGGAAGTGGTAAGAGGTGGGTCTGGAGAGACATGACTTGATCTAGCTTGATAGGCAGAGGAAGTATCTACCAGTGTTTCTTTTGTAATTTGATCAAGAGCTCCAGGGCAGGGGATTTGGCTGTCATAAGAATTTAATTTCAAGTTAGAAATCAAGCACTTTGGACCCAAAGAAAGACCAAGTAGCTAAAATAGTCAGAGCCTGCTAAAGTGTTTGAAGGAAACAAGTCTTCAGACTCTAGGCCAAGCTTGGAAGGCAGGCCACTATCTTTAATGTTCATCCTTCAAAGCTGCCCACGCAGAAGGCAGCTAGCTACATCTGAGTCGAAGAAAAGTCTGACCACAGCAACCATTGTGCTTTAAAACTGTTCCTGGAGTATTCAAACCTAATCTGCCAGCAAAAGAGAGGCTGACGGGTAACATAAAGGTACCCCTCAAGCCCCTCTCTTTAAGCCAAGCAACAAATGCCTGTTGTCAGGGCTTGGTGTAGATCATGTCCTGACGCCACTGCTCATCGCGAGGGTGAGGTGAATGGTCAAAGTGCCGCTGTTGCTGGCGAGCAGCTAGGACAAGTTGCTCGTACGGAATGTATTGGACAACAGCGCAAGACCCTGGTGGCGTTTCCAAACGTAAGGCTTGGGGCTAGGAAGCTGAGAGCAGCAGTCAGGAACTGGTGGGATGGAAAGAATGAGCTGCAACCATGATTGTTTTCTCCTCGCTAACACTTACTTCTCCCTGGCATGGCACATGCAACGGGGAGGAGAGGAATTAGCTTCTATTACATAGGGCACCTTATCTACACTCTTCCTGCTAAGGCTGCCTCTAATGTACTCAGGGAAAGGAGATTTGTCCCAGGGAGCCCCTGCTGGGTCAGATCCTCACCACAGCTACTGCCTTCAGGAGAACTCTGAGCCCGATACACTGCTGGGGCCTGGCAGTAGTACTCTGTACTGACATCCTGTAATCAGCATACCACACCACTACTAACACTGGATCACGCTTGAAGGGCCGCAAGGATGGGGTTCTGAAGGTGGTGGTGGGTCATGTTTGTCCCATTACTCCCAACTCACAGTGGCCACCAGTGACCCCATGTACACAAAGCAGAACTGCTATAGGATTTTTAAGACCTTGACCTTCCAGAAGTAAATCACCATAGCCCATCTTCCAAAGTGGGGGCGGTGTTCAACAACCTATCAGCTGGCAGTGAGTGGTTAATCATTTGTACTACCCATGGACATGAAAGTAACAACTCAGAATTGAATGCCACTCGTGGGTTCCCTACCACCAGGACTTTCTCATTCCTATTATCCCATACCCTCCCCAATGCTCTTCCCAAAAAAAGCCTCCTCCCTCCCCCATTTTTCCAATTCCTCCTTTAGAGCGTCATCCATAGGCATTTCTTTCAAGCCACTTTATGAGCATGAAAATAACTAGTGACATACACAGATATCCCATAAGCCCATATTGGTAATAAGGGAATACATGTTAAAACCTGCCTCACTTATTTACATCTCAGTTAACTACAGAATTACTCCCATTCGATTTTACTTTGGGCTGAAGATGTAGCTTGTGTTGAGGCAATAGTTACCAAATACTACAATGTGTAAAACTGATGGGATGTAAGCAGTGGTTTTGTCTTTCTCTGGGGCCTGGAAGATACCCCAAAACAGACCCACTGCTTTGGAGGCCATCCCCACTCATAGTGACCCTGGAGGGCAGACTCGAACTGCCCCACAGGGTTTCCAAGCCTGTGAGTCTTTGCAGGGGCAGACTGCAGCATATTTCTCCTAGAGAGAGGCTGATGGGTTTGAACCACTGACCTTTTAGTTAGCAGTTGAGTGCTTCAACCACTGCACCACCAATGGCATTAATACATATGTGTTGAATGCAAGAATAAATGAAAGGAGCTTTCCTTCTCCCACAATTCCTTGCGCTTTCCAACCTGATCTGGGCACTATGGCTCCAGCAAAGGGTGGTGAGAAGAAAGGCTGTACTGCTGTGGATGAAGTCGTGACCAGAGTTACACCATCAGTATTCACAAGTGCATCCATGGCGAGGACTCCAAGAAGCGTGTACCTTGGGCACTCTAGGAGATACCGAAATTTTCCACGAAGGAGATGGGAACACTAGATGTGCAATTCAACAGCAGGCTGAACAAAGCTCTGGGCCAAAGGAATTGGGACTGCCCCATATCGGATTTGTGTGCTTTATATCCTAGAGCTTTGGGAAAGAAATGAGACAAAAATTCAGGTACCTTCCACATCAGTGAAATTTCTAGAGCTCCAGGGTTATGGGGCATGTCAAGATATTCCTATTTGGCTGAAAGATGTTATTACATCTGGCCTCTCCCTCACCTGAAAAGGAGGCACAATACTTGGTGGGCCTATTTGGATTTGGGGGCAGCATAATCCTCATTTGGGTGTGCTACTTAAGCCTGCTTAGTGATTTTTAAAGCTGGTAGTGCTGAGTGGTGCTCAGAAGAAAAGGCTCTGCAACAGGTTCAGGTTAATGAGCAAGCTGCTCTGTCATGTGGCCCATATGTACCAGCTGATCCACTGGTGCTTGAAGTGGTAGGGGCAGAGAAAGATCCAGTTTGGAGTCTTTTGCAAGCCCCTATTGGTGATTTACTATTAGGACCCTTAGGTTTTGCAGCAAAGTCTTACCATCCTCTCAGATAACTACTGCAGAGAAAAACAGCTTTTGGCTTATAACTTGGTTTTAATGAGATGGAATTTCTAACCATGGGCTACCAAGTCACCCTGTGGCCTGGAGCTGTTCATCATAAACTGGGTGTTGTCGGGCTCACCGCCCTAATTTGGGTGTGCACAGTAGCACTCCATTAAATGAAAGTGGTATAAAGGAGATCAGGCTGAAGCAGGACCTGAAGGTACATGCTGCATGAGGTGGCCCAAGTGCCTATGGTCTCCATTCTTGTCACATTACTTTCCCTTTCAGTCTGCAACTAAAGCCTTATGATCGGCATAATATACATACACTTCTCAAAAGTGGATAGCATGGGGAGAGGTGGGGAGGAAGGGTGAACCGATTGCAATAATTGACACATAACCACACACACACACACACATGAAGGTCAACAGAAACCATGGGGGGATGGAGACAGCCATTGGTGTGAAACAGAATAAGAATTTATCAAGGAGTAAGAAGGGTGAGAGGTGGGGAGGGAGGGAAAAAAGAGCTGATACCAAGAGCTCAAATCAAAGTCAATGTTTAGGAAATGATGGCAACATATGTACAAATGTGGTTGATGCAACTGATGTTATAGGAGCCCCCATAAAAATGATCTTTTAATTAAAAAAATTAACAAGAAAAGTAGATAGCAGCAGCACTACAGACCCTTTTGGGGCCTCCCTGGACAGTGGTCAACGGGAATCCTCCAGTGGGAAGGATTTCTAGCGATGCACCAAGGTATTGATTTTGCTTGCAAAGAGAAATGGCCAGACAGGCAATTTATACTGATTCATGGGCTGTGGCTTATGACTTGGCTGAATGGCCAGGGGTTTGCAAAGAACATATGGAAAATTGGTGGGAAGTAGGAATGGAGGAGTTCCATGTGGAGAGACCACTCTGAATGGGTCAAAGTACAGATCTTTGCTTCTCCTGTGATAACCCTCATCAAAGGGTTATCTCAGCAGATTTTAACAAGGATGATACATTCTGTGCATACCAGCCAACCTCTTTCCCCAGCCACTCCTGTCACTGCCCAATGGGCTCACAAATAAAGTGGCCATGGTGGCTTGGATGGAAGTTATGCATTGATCCAACGTGGACTTCCACTTACCAAGGCTATCTTGTCTACAGTCACTGCTGAGTTCCTATTCCTACAACAGCAGAGACCAACACCAAAAGCACAATATGAAACCAGTGCTCAGCCAGCAACCTGGTGGCAGGTGGATTACATTGTACTACTTCCATCATGGAAAGCGCAGTGTTTTGTTCTTACTGGATATGGACTTACCTTCCCTCCATGCAATACTCTTCCCAAACTGCCATCCATGGACTTTAGAGTATCCCACTGTCTGAAGGTGGGTCTCTTGAGAAGCAAAATGAGTAAAGTGTGTGTACACACACAAACTCACTACCACTGAATTAACTCTAACTCACAGTGACACTATAGGACCAAATAGAACTGTCCTTTTGGGTTTCCAAGGCTGTAAATCTTCATAGGAGCAGAGTCTCATCTTCTTGCATATGCATAGGGAGAGATGTATGAGGGTTATCTCCCCTCCCCCACCCAAAACGGATTTTTTCAAAGATATGTATTTAAATTTTTTTACAAAACAATCTTATCACGTTCAAAGTATTCTCCATTACGCTTAATACATTTGTCAAATCTTCTATTCCATTCTTGGAAACATTTTTCAAACTCATCTGGATGGCTTTTGAGAAAACACAAATTTATCTTCACTCACGTAGCTGTAGTGATTGATAAAATCAATATTGTCGTCAGATGGCAGGCTGACACCAAATGTTGGCAGGACATGGAACAATAAGAAATTATATACTTCTGTGGAAGAGTAAATTGTATATTCTGGAATGTTTAGCATTATCTAATAAACATAAGACGCTATAACCCAGCAATTCCATTTAGATATATACACAACCAAAATGCAAGTTCACATCAAAGTACATGAATAAAAATCTTCAAAGTAGCAATATTTTTAATAGTCTAAACCCAGAAACTATCCTAGATGTCCATCAACTACAGAATGTACAAATAAATGGCAAATTCATACAATGTAATACTATAAACAAACGAACGCACTCACGGCCACTGAGTGATTCTATAGAACAGGCTAGAATGGGTTTCTGAGCATCTTCATGAGTAGAATGCCTCATCTTTTTCCAACATAGGATAGATACTATGCCACAATGAAAATAATTTTTGTTTTTAGGTGCCATCAAGTTGGTTCCAACTTCTGGTGACTCTACATACAACAGAATGAAACGCTGTCCGGGGCCGCCCCATCCTCACCATCATTGTCCCGTTAGAGCCCACGGCTGTAGCACCATGTCAATCTTGTCGAAGAACTTCCTTTTTTGATGCCCCTCCACTTTAACCAAGCACAATGTCCTTTGCCAGGGACTGATCTCTCCTGATTACATATTTAAAGTACCCGAGACAGTCTCTCCATCCTTTTCATTGGGGGCTCATGCAGCTCCCAATACAATCACAATCCATACATACATCATGTCAAGTACATTTGTACATATATTGCCATCAGTTTCAAAGCACTTTCTATTTGAGCCCTTGTTATCAGCTCATTTTCTCCCTCCCTCATGAACCCTTGGTAATTTGTATTTTTTCATGTCTTACACTGACCGATGTCTCCCTTCACCCACTTTTCTGTTGTCCGTCCCCCTGCTGGGAGGGAGTTTATATGTACATCATTGTGATCAGTTCCCCTTTTCTTGGACCACCTTCCCCTGATGCTCCTGGTATTGCTACTTTCATTATTAGTCCTGAGGGGTTTATCTGTCCTGGATTCCATTTCCAGCTCTTATCTACACCCGTGTACATGCTCAGGTCTAGCCAGATTTGTAAAGGATCATGATAGTGGGGGGCGGGGGATGGGAAGGAAGCATTAAAGAACTAGAGAAAAGTATGTTTCATCAGAGCTTTACTGCACCCTGACTGGCTCATCTCTTCCTTGTGACCCTTCAGTAAGGGGATGTCCAATTGTCTACAGATGGGCTTTAGAACTCCACTTCGTACTCCGCCCTCATTCACTTTGATATCATTTCTTATTCTGGGTCTTAGATGCCTGATACCTGATCCCATCTACACCTCATGATCACACAGGCTGGTGTGCCTTCCATGTGGACTTTGTTGCTTCTCAGCTAGATGGCCACTTGTTTACCTTATGCGCCCATTTTGTCTTCAGCGATCCTGTTGGGAAGGCAAGCATCGCGGAATGCCGGGTTATTAGAAGAAAGTGTTCTTGTGTTGAGGGAGTACTTGAGTTGAGGCCCAATGTCTACCTTAACATATGTCCATAAATCTATTTCCCTATCATTATATATTAGTATATTTACATATGTACGTGCCTGTATTTAGACCTCTACAAATGCCCTTTGCCAACTAGTTCTTTTCTCTAATTCTTTTTGCTTTCTTCTCGTCCCACCATCATGTTTGGCCTTTATTCAGGCTTTGGTAATTTCCTCTTGGTTACATTGCTCTTGATCAAGCCCTGCCAGGCACCCTATGCCCTCCTTGCCTTTGATTTTAGACATCCTTGCTTCTGAGGAGAATTCTGTCTGTACTTCTTCCAAGACAGATGTTTACGTCCTTTGGCAGTCCGCTGTACTTCCAGTGTTCTTCCCCAGCCCCATAATTCAACTGCATAGACCCTTCTTCGGTCTTCCTTATTCAATGTCCAACTTTGACGCACATATGAAGTGATAGAAAATATCATGGTTTGGGTCAGGTGGATTTTAGTCCTCAAAGGAATATCCTTGCTTTTCAACATTTAAACGAGGTCTTGTTCAGATTTACCCAATTCAACATGTCTTTTGATCAATTGCTCCTTCCATGAGTATTGATTGTGAATCCAAGCAAGACAAAATCCCTGACAACTTCAATCATTTCTCTTTTTATCATGCTCCCTATTCAACCAGTTGTGAGGATTTTTTCTACTTTTACCTTAAATTTTAATCCATGTTGAAGGCCTGCAACCACTGATCAACAGCAAGTGCCTCAAGTCCTTCTTACTTTAATAAAGTGGATATTATATAGCAATGAAAATAAATTAGTTACATGTAAAACCCTAGATGTCTCAAGGGGATAAATATGTTGAACACAGAACCCAGACATAAAATATTATAATTCCATTTACATAAAGTTCAAACAGACAAAATTACAGTGCTAAAAAGATACTTAAAATGACTGAAACACTACTTAAAGGCCTGTCTTAAACAAGCAGCCATGTAAATGAGGTGCCAGCTAAATCCATACAGAAGCCACAAGCCTGTATGATCCAAGGATTTCAGATGGTAAAACCCAAGATCAGAGGAGGGAATTGTATTAGGGCTTAAATTCCGAATACCTGATTTGTATAAGACTGAGGGTGACCAACAGTGAAAGCCCCAAATCCATTTGCAATCTCCTGATTAAGCCTTAAATTCCCTCAGCCCATTGAATATGGGATGTGAACAGTCTTGTCCAGAGACAGTGAAGTGGAAAATGGATTACTGTAGATACAGTTTGGTTTAAATTTAACATCTATTTGTTTTCCTTTTGGTCCAGTTTTAACTTGTCCTAGTTTCTATTACTTTCTTTTGAAATGAGGTTTTTCTAAGTTTTGTTTTATGGTTGTTGCGGTTTTCTTCTTCTTCTTGTATGATTTTCTTTATATGAAATTCAAGATAGGTAAACCTATTGATGTACTGGAACCGTTAATTTGTATATGAATTCTATGTCCATAAAACAGTAGAAAAATAAAGTGATTGACATTATATGTTATCAAGGGAAAGTTTTGGGAGTCCCTGGGAGGAAGGCCTAAAGGCTCACGTGGGGTTCTAGCAATATTCCAATTCTTTATTTGGTTGGGGTGACCAGGTGCTTGATTTGTAATAGTTTGAGTTATATATTTGTTCTGTGCCCTTTTCCATATTTTTAAAATAATATTTTAATACTTAACCAAAAAAAAATCTATGGAATGCCATTTTCTTGTGGACATCAACCTGAAAGACCAAACTTTTCACACACTCACAAGTAAATATTTTTTAATCGAAATCTATCTAATTAGTATAGGAACTACATGAGGAACAGATATATTTGTCCAATTCTCAGTATTTTCTTTATGAAATATAAAAACTCTCAGAATGAAATGAAGACTAACAGTAAACTCCAAAATTTGAGGGATGAGGGAAGAAACTAGTTATAATTTGAAAATGTCTGAAATAAATGTGATGTGTGAGTTTTGGGTGAAGAATACCGTTATAAGATACTTAACTGTACCCATCTGGAACTATTGTGTCTCATGTGACTATCCAAATTATTTTGCTGTAACAGTGCATGTGGGATCAGATCCATTTAGAATAAACAAATAGAAGCCCTTCTCCAGATACAATGTAGTAAAAGAATTACACGTTACTACTACATGAAGTAGTAATTTCAAAAAACACCACCTAAAACAAACAGGAACTTACCTGAAATTATGGAACAGACTTCGAAGTACAGCCCTACAACATGAAGACTGCATTTATGGTGTCTCTGGAAGTATTTCTAAATGGATTAAAACTTTGATTTCAAGCCTGCAGCTTTTACATGCAGCTCATTTCAGAATTTAAAATATTTGTCATAATGCAGTCCTGTTTGCTGTAAGGGTACTTAGTTTTAACTTTGGAGTTGACAGCATAAAAAAACCCCTCCGGAGCCATGTAGAGGATTAATCCAGTGGCATGTTGCTGCTAAACACTTACCAAAATTTCCCCCAAAATTGATGCTTAAGAAGCAACATTTGCCACTCATAGTGTGCAAAAAAGAAGAAATATTGATGTGAACAAATGCTTTTGAAAAAACACTCCTTCAAGCTATAAGTGTCCAGTAACACCATAATAATTTTACTGAACCAATTAATGAAATATTAATCAAGAAGAATATGATTTTAAGCAAACATTTGTCATTTATATGTCTTTCAAAAAGCCTCCTAATGTCATTCCCTTTTAATCCTTGAAGGATTGAAAGACAAATTAAGTTACTATTCATATGACAATACATCTTAGATTAATATACAGAATTTAAAATGTTATCCTTTATTCTATTATTTCATTCTTCATTATACCAGATAATTATTCATGCCTAAAAATATCAGAATAGGTTGGGAAATTAAAAATGAACATTCATACTTAAGTTTTGAATTATCATATCTTTTTCACAAATAATGCACACACATGAATATGTATATTGGAAAAATAACATGCAAGGGATTTGAACAGCTAACAGCAATCAAAATAAGACTTACCATGCTGTTTGTGTAAAAAATGTGGCAATCTTCATATATCTAAAGTAGTCCTAGCAAGAAGCACATTTTTTAAGGTGGTACACAATAATTTATAGATTTAAGATTTGGGATTTAAGATATTAACCATTTTATAAATTGAATGATTAGAATGTAACAAACTCATCTCCAGCTTTATGTTACTCTTAACTGTAGATGAGGTACACAATCATACCCATCACAATTGTCTCTTAAAAAGTTTTTCTTTTTTAAAAATTTACATTTTTGAACACTTTGAGTTCACAGATTAAAACAAGCAAACACACTGCACTACCCTAAATGTATAATAAGCAAACTAGAACACTTTATTTAAAAAGCAGTGTTTTATGAAGACTGAAAAAAGTAAGAAGTATGAGATACCAGCTATCCCTCAAGAAATAATTTTAATAGTTCAAAATATTTCAAAGAATATTAAAGAGGTGGCAACATTAATGTAATATGTGACAGATGAAAGTATCTCAGTAAGAATTTGTTCTACTAATTCTAGACCTCTTATTGGTCTTTCTTATTGCAGCTTTGTTTTCAAAATATAAATATTTAATACAAGTGAGCCAAATATAAAGTAGTACTAGATGATCTTTCACTTTTTATGCTCTAAGAGTAATATACATATGATTCCTTCAGAAAAATGTCCCTTTTAAGCCACACCAACTTCTAAATCCCTTGACTATTATCAGAAAGTCATCATATATAATCAACCATGACAAAAGAATTGTAAATTCTGTTTTAAATAGGCAAGTATTATTTCCCTTCCCAACTTTTACTTCAAGTTTAATCTGTAACAGTAATACTTAATGATTTTCTCTTCCAAAACAGCAAAAACTAAAAGCATTAAGTGTGTCTAAAGAGTACAGTTTCACCCAAGTTCTATCCTGACATATGGCAGCAAAGATCATACAACAGAATGTACTCAGACTAGTGCCACGAGAAAACACAAAAGGTCCCGTGTGTGTGTGTGTGTGTGTGTGTGTGTGCGCACGTATTTCCCCAACTACTTAAAAATCAAATATTAAAAAGTTTATTATTTCACCATAGGCAGATGTGTAGTTGCTGAATTTAAATTTAGCAGTATCTTATGTCTTCTTGGAGATATGGTGTTATACAAATATTAAAAGCACAATAAGTTAAAAAATAAAGCCTTGGTTGAGTATAGCCATGGTTTATATACAAATCAGAGCACTAAATAATGTAAATTTGTTCATCAGAACACAGCATCAGATAACATCTAATGAAACTATAGCCCATAAAAAGCAGGGAAAAAATCTTACAGCCAAGCTGTGCTTACTTGAAACTTTTACCCTATGTTCCTACCCTTCACATGCTTTATTCTAAACAAAATATATTAATGCAAACTATACCAAAACATTTTGAGTTGATATTCTGTAAAATGTAGTATGATGTACTCCCAAAGGTGTTACAAAAGTAAGTTCAACATGGATGCTACAACATTTCACCCAGAGCTTAATACTGAAGAACAAAGAAGCCAGTCTTCTGACAGTGGCCACAGATCCCAAATTCATATTAAAGATATATTTGGCATTTACTATGGAGACCTTCCAATATATTCTAACGGCATGCTGTAAAGGCCAGTATCAGAAAACACGGCCGCAGGACAGCATGGAAAACCAACCGAGAGAACATATTACTGCGTGAAGTGAATGCCTACAGATTTAGAGAGAAATCTTCTAATGTCAAAGTGTAATATATTACAGGATATCTGCCATAACCAATTCCATCAAGATCAGTATGCCTTTAACTGTGGCACTGGCAAAAATGACACCTTCAGGATTCCACTAAGGAACCCAAACGAAGCCGACAGGTCCATCAGTAACCTCAATAAATGAGCTAGTTCTTTTCTTTGCAGGTACTGTTTCAGTTTTTCTTTTAAGTCCTTACAAAACAGCTTAAATTACTAAAATCTTAAGGCAATATGTTTATTCCTGATTCTCAGTGTTCCCTTAATACAATAAATACTAAATCAGAACACAACATGCTGAAGTATACCTTAAAACACTGCTCTGACAAACCTCAGGGTCTGCCCCTTGGCTTTTTAAAATGGTGGTGTCACCTTGCCGATTCAACAATAAATACTGTTTTTACTTTATCATTAATCTGGTCCTTGGCCAAAATATCCATAGTGTATTGGGCTGCAATTCTAAAGCCTCCTCTCTTCTCAGACTCATTAATAGTACTTCACCGGAATCCAAGAAAACATGGATGAGGAACTTCTAGGTTGAATGCTGCAATTGTCACAGTTTAAAGAGTGGAATGTTTTAACTCAGTGTTTAATCAAAAGCAGTGAATGCATCATGAGAGTCTCAGAACAAGCTTCTATCAACCTATGCATCAGCTCCGCCAACGAAAATAATTTCAAGATTTGTTTCATCGTAAGAAAGTGTAACGATTATGCAATCAAGCTATGAATTACACCATGGAAGTTCTGAAGTAAACAGAAATCAAAGTCAGTCAAATTTGGGGGCTAAATTCCCAGTTTAAAGCTTATCAAAAATGAAAGAAACTGAAAACTACATAGCTAAGACCTCTTAGGTCCAATGTGCAGTCACACCCATCACCACTATCCTGTCAATAGACAAGGGCATCGATTTGTATGCTGAGAAAATACACATGCATTCTACCATTTCTCTATACAACTGCTTTCAACAAGTTCTCAAACACTGATTTTAAAGTCTTCTTGAAAACAATTTTGCACTGAATTGCAATAAATTATAACTCACTGTTACACATGTTAATTTTCATAAAATTATATTATAGATGTTTGCAAAGAGAATTACATTAATATACAAGAGTACTTCAATAAAAACTGATAAACAATGAAGTATAAATAGGTTTTATAACCAAGCTGCACGGACATTAGAGGGCTTAGGTCTTAGCAACAGGCCACTGGATGTGTCATAACTGGTTCGCTCACTCTTATAACTGAGACCACTGGTAGCACTGGATGTCCTGGAAGCACCTCCTGAAATGCAGAGAGAGCAAGATAACTGGCATTAATCCAACTAGCTGCATTAGCCGCCTGGTCATCTTCTTCTCCCACTGTAAATCCAGACTCGGTTTCTTCATTCAAACTCACTGCCATGGAAGCAGTTCCCACTCTGTGCACTGCACTCCTACAGAACTGCCCCTCTGGGCTTCCCAGGCTGTCAATCTGGAGCAGCTGGTGGGTTTGAACTGCTGACCTGGCAGTGATCGGTCTAACACGTAACCTCCCATGCCACTAGGGCTCCACAGGGAGCTCTGGAGGCACTGTAGGGTAAGCACTGAACGTCCACCTGCAAGGTTGGTGGTAAAAACTTACCAGCCACTCCACGGGAGAAAGATGGGGCTTTCTGCTCCAATAAAAATGTATAGCCTTGGAAACCCACAAGGAGAGTTCTACTGTAATGGATAGATTTGTTATGAGTGACAGCAGTTAAGTTTGTTTTGTTTTTGAGTTTTTCTTCCTCGTCCCAATGTTTTTCAACCAGAAGGACTCAAGAATTCCTTGTGTAACTTAAAAATATAATAAAAAAACTTATGCATTTGAGTCATTAAATTGAGTGGGGGTAAATACTTTCAAATAGGAGTGATAGTGGATAGTGGGTTACAAGTTGGGCTGCCAACTGCAAGGACAGCAGTTCAAAACCAGCTGCTCGGAAAAAGATGAGTTACAGTCTCAGACACCCATAGGGGCAGTTCTACCCTATCCTATAGGGCTAGTATTAGAATCAATGACAGGAAGTGTGTTTTGCGTTTTTAAACTGTTTTTGAAAGCTTCTCACATAAATCAAATAAAAATCAAAGGAGAGAAACCACTCTGTATAACCACTTCTACTTTCATTCAATAAATATATGGAGGGCATAGTACTAAGCATTGGTTACCAGAATAAGACCCTAATTAGTCACTACCAAAGAAAGGATGTCTGTAGAATGACTGAGTAGAATCAGTAGTCAATGGATTATTTAATTAATGAGTCACATGAGTGTTGGGAGGTTGTAGCATTACTTAAAAAATTGTTCCAACTCTGAGTCATGGTGTCTATTTTTTATAATCTAGAGGGCATACATGAATTAACAGCACAGATGTCTATGAAAGAAAATGACAGGCCTAGCAGGGCTCCATTTCAAGCATGCATGGGTTTATTGCAAATAAAACATGTGTAAATCCATCTTTGTGATCAGTGGATGTCTGCAGACAGGTTCTCTCAGTGACACACTTGTCTTTTTTTCTCATTGGGGAGAGAAAAAGAGGCCCAATCAAAACAGGGGCTTATTAAGAAGAGATTTTCAGAAAGTGGAAAACTGCATTGGTGATAAAATCCCCAGAGCAGTCACGCGGTTTCTTTCCCCATCGTGACAATGCAACTGCTCGTTCTTCAAAGAGAGCAGGGCTGTCTTACAAGAATGGTGCTGGGGACCTAGTCTAGCCTTCCCACAGACCTGGCCTTGCGCCTTCCCCCGGCTTCTTCTGCCTTCCCAAGGCTCAAGGAGTACTTAACAAGGAACACGACCTGAGCTCCTCCAGGAGGCAAAGTTGCCGTTTTGATGTGATGTGAATTGAAGAGGTCACAATTCATCAGAAATGATTTGGAGAGACAGAAACATTGCCTTCAGCAGTGTACAGACACCGGTGGAGGCTATGTTGAGTAACAATAGCTTCACATTTTGGTATTTTTGTTTAGGAAAGTGTTCTATGATTTTACAGCAATATGTATGTTTTAATTTAGCATTGTGTACTGCATACCCTAGCACTAAGTGGTCTCTCTTCCAATGTTCTCTGGAGTATAAAACTGGCTTTTTAAAAAAAAAACAGTTTCATTAGCACTTCATGTACATATTATATAGTCCAATAATCCAATCATATCAGGAAGAGTTGTACAATTGTCATCATATTCTAGAACATTTTCTTCTTCCTTGTAATCATTGTTATCCATGTAATTACAATGTTTTCCCTAATTGTTGCAAAATATACACAATAGGACATTCTCCAATTCCACAACTTCTACTTGTATAATGCAGTGTCATTGATTAAACTCTTTGTTTTACAACCATTATTGATATCCTTTTCCAAATTACTCTACCACCATTGATATAAACTCAATGCCCCCTATGCAACAACTCATTCCCCTTCGTCTACAGTAACCACTGGTCAAGTTCTTTTTGTATGTGTGTGTGGTTTTCTTGATAGACTATTCACATAACATATACTTCATGGTTAAATTGCTTTTAAAATGAGTGCATAATCACAATCCATTCTAGTGCTCCCTCCGCCACCCCCCACCCCCCGAATTCATGGTTTGCTCCACAAATCCCCTCACCCTCCCTGTTTCCCATCCCCACATCCCTATAAAACTGGTTAACTCCAATCATGTATTAAGAGTACTTCTCACGACTCTACATTATTTTTAATTTCCCAGTGAGGAAGAAAAAGCACATTAAGAGCTGGAATATATTAGCAATAATTCCTAACTAGCTAGGGTGGCATGTTTCAGAAACTTTAATTCGTATCTACATCTTCTCTTAATAATACATTGAAATTAAAAGTCTCTCTCCTATTACCTAATGAATTACTGACATTACATTTTATTTACTGATTTCCTTCCTATGCTGCTAAGATGAGCTACAAAGAAAATCTGGAACGAAGTGAACTGACATAAAGAAAGCGTGCCAGCAAAAAATGAGGGTGTAAAAGTGTCACTAGAAAACATTTTCCACAAAAAATATCTTAATACTTCTAAAATAATAAAAGGAACAGTGATACACAAGTAAATATAAATTCATACATTAAAGAAAAAGGCTAGAATACATTCTAGAAGCTCACATTTTCAAACTCTACCATAAGAACCTAAGCAATACTAAAAAACAAAACAAAATGTATCAGAGATAGAGGCAAGGACAAAATTATTTGGCATATACTTACTTAGCGGACTGTACTGGCTCAGCGTGGACCTCACTCGCCTTGAAACGGGTGAGGAGCTAAGATAGCCCATATTGCGATGATAGTCCATCAGTTGCTCTGAGCGTTTCATGCCGACGGTAGGCTTCACAGCCTCCAGCCTTTTTAATAAAGCCTTAATTAAAGACAATCAGTTTGAAAGCCATTGTTAGACAAGTTTCTAGAACCAGAAATTAATGAAATGTATCACTCCTAATGAATGCCTTATTGTAAAAAATTCAAATACAGTGAGGCTTCAAAAAATGTATGGAAAAGCTCCATGAGCTGTTAGATTTCTTTCCCACAAACTTTCTGAAGCTCAAATCAGAACTGTCTGTCTGGAAAGGAATAAAACACACCAACTACCGATTTTGGTTCAGAAGACTTCAGCGAGAAGTTGACTTTTTTCTGGTCTTTGAAGGTCAAGAACTAAAGAAGGGCATACCAGACAAAAGGGCCAGCAGGCAGGCTGGTAGAGCCAACATTGATGTCTACACCTCTGTCTTACAGTGTCTTCCTTCTCTCCCTTTCCTCCCTTGAATATTTCGGTTTGCTCTACCATCAGCTATCTCTTCTCTGGAATTGCTCAGCTGTAATGCTAATGGTGTCAAGCGAAAACAAGGAGTAAACTGCTCAGAGCTGAAACCTCAGTAAAGGAAGAAGGGACAAAGACTACCCAGAGTAAACGTCTCCTGTTACTATACTTGGGTTGACTTTTTCCCGTGAATCTGACTGCAAAACAGTACTCTCTCTTCAAGTATGAAAGATCAGCTTGCTACAGAGAACTATGAATCAATGAAAGACAATAATAAAACACAACCATAGATCAACTCCCTGGTCCTTGATCTACCTAATATTCGCAACGATAGTTGTGAAATTTAAGCAAAAGAACCTTTTCACCTTCTGACTAGTTTAGAATTATAAATAAGAATAGGAACATTATATATTAAACTGTTTTTGAATCATTGTTAAATAAAAGTATGTTATTGGATACCCTGGCTAGTTGGCTTATAAGAGGATTCAATAAATTCGAGAAAAAACTCCTCAAGTCCATTTTTAGATAAAAGTTCATGAAGCCCTCTCACGTTTATTTCTCTCTTTAAAGACACTGAAGCAATATACTTAAAGATGTCAAACTCTCCTAACATTGTACTATCCCTACCTACAGTTTTTAAATACAGAAGAAATGTTCAACACTGTTTCACACCTTCAATGTACTTTACTGTACAGAGTAATGCTTGTTCTTTTATCTGATTATACTATTAAAAATCCTTGCACTGTACAGTGTGGAATGGATGGTATAGAAATGTGTGTATTTTCAGTTACCTACTAATTTTACTCTTTTACTAACTGAAGTTTCAATATTTATGAACCTGCCCATTTCCTCACATTTAATTGGTCAAATATGTTATTATTTTTGCTTTTTAAAATGTTACCTATGTTATAAAACAAATTCCTTAGATTAAAAAAAATCAGAGGGATATGGTCAAAATCAATTTTAACATAATTTGACAGGAGATCAAAAAGTGAAAGCATTCTATAGCTGCAATATATCATCTGTGAAGTTTCCACAGAGACTGAGCAGGGAGAGGAAATGTATTTCACAATCTCTGCTCAAGCACACAGAGCCACCTCACATTTCTACATAACCGGAGCCTTCCTTAGTTATCACGAGCTATTTTCTTCATTGGAAAAAGACAACAGAGTTTAAGCAGAGAAGTAGAACCACCCTGAGTAAACGATATAATTTTTTAAGGCCTCAGAATATGGGTACTGATTAATACTCATACTAGGTATGAGCAAATCTTCATCTTCATGGTATCATTCTCCCTTTAATAATTTAATGCAAAGAAATATTTCGTACTTCTAAAATTAGAGTTCTACATCAGCACACAAAGGCGAATGGAAGGATGATTTTACTTTTCATTTGAAGTTTTTATCACTTTCAAAATGAAATTATTTTGTTTTGAATATTTTGTTAAAACTGTGTTTTCAGTAAAGTCACTTTGTATAAATTTTGGAAAAAATTTTTGAACTTATAATATAGACTTTGATACAATTAGTGAAACCCCTATATCTGAAGAAGTCTCTGATGCTGGAGTTGATCAGATGAAAGCCATTTCCTCAGATTCATGCAATCATATAGGCATCCACCAGATGGCAAAAAGTGGGACAAACTTCCCACTAAATCCCACCAACGGAAAATACAGGTGGGTATTATACATCTCATAAAGGTTAAGAACTATTTGAATTATCTAAATTTATGTATTTAATAGTTTTATTTTTAAAATAATATTTCAATACGGGGACACAAATAGGAAGATTATGGTCTCCTGATATACTTTCTGCAACTGATTAGTATTTTTCTGCATTTAAAAAAGGGAAAAATGAATAGATTTTTTTTTAAAGGGAAAAATGAAGAAAATTAGTAAGTTAAAATCTTCATTTTAGGTCTAGATCTAATTGTGGTACATTCAGCAGGAAGCTTACTTCTCTTACTTCTTCCCTGACCTTACTTTAATTACACCATCCTCCTCCTTCACCTTTTTTTGCAGCTGAGGAATCTCACACACAAGAACGAAATAAACCAATTTCTTGCTAGTGGATAAAGGAAAACTGTACAGTGAAAGTCCATACTAGCACCCCTCCTTTAAGATGATGCTATAGATGCTCTTTCTGAAAAGGACTGTATTATATTTACAAAAGATGAGACATGGTTTAACAAAACTTTTCAAAATGCACAGTAAAGTTCTAATATAAATGCATATATATGATACAAGCATGCCCTCTACTGTATAAAACTAACTTTTCTTTACTCCTTTCATTTTCTGTTTGGATGCAATGCTGAAGAAAAACAAACAATGAGAGTATTAAATTAACAGTAGGCAGGTGGATGCTTTTAACTCTTGCACACAGGACTACATTTTATATAATCTTTTCTTTTCTTGTTGTTTTCCCTTTGCACAACACTACTTTGTCCTGAATTACCGTAGACTCTGTGTTGCTTACAAGCTTGGAAAGAAAACTGAAAACTACTGCAAGTAACTTGAATGCACCTTGGAGAGGACTTAAAAAAATTCATGGAAAAATGGAAAAAAGAATTTTTCCAAACAACCTAGAAAATAGGTTTAAAAGTCTATCAGTACACACTACGGAACTACTAGAGTCATTATGGCTTTAAATAAAGAGTTTGCTACATGACTAGCCATAAAATAGAAGCAGGCTGTCACATCTTTCTCTTGTGGAACAGCTGATGTGTTCCAAGAGACACCTTTCTGTTAGTGACTGAGTACGGACCCTTTGGCCACCAAGAGCTCATCCAGTGAAATACAAGAAGGGTTCGCGCTGAAAGCTGTTTCAGCCATTTTATCAGCTTTGTGATATACTGGAGCACTGAATTGATACGTCCATTTGGGTTGAATTTTAGTTTAAACCCAAAGGTTCTACAGCCAGATTACCTGAGTTTAAGATTAAAATTTGGCTAAGGTACTTACTAGCTCTGTGTCCTTGGAATAACCATTTAACCCATCGAGGGCATTTTTTTTTAATTTACAAGCTATACATAAAAGTGATACCTATCTCAAAGAATTGTGAGCAGACAGAAAGCATTAGCTTTCTGTTTCTAATAATAATACAGTACATCCTGATGAAGAGAGTACTGACATGGTAACTCACTCACTGCCGTTGAGTCTATTTTACTTTACTTATATCTACAATCAACACTCATGGAAGCAGCAGTCAAGAAATCAAAGGAAGATGTATTAAAATTAGCAAATCTGTTGCAAAAGACCTCTTTTAAAGTGCTATAAATCAAGTGACACTTTGAGGAGTAAGTGAACCCAGGCCAAGCCACGTTATTTTCAATGGCCTCATATGTATGGGAAAGCTGGACAGTGAGTGAATAATGAAGACTGAAGAAGAATTGATGACTTTGAATTATTGACTACATATATACATACCATGGACTGACAGAAGAATAAACAAATCTGTCTTGGGAAGTACAACCAGAATGCACCTTAGGTTGACAAGACTGGTGGGTCTTACCTACTCGGGACATATTATCGGAAGAGACCAGTCTTCTGGTAAAAGACATTATGCTTGGTAAAGTAGTGGGTTACTGAACAAGAGGAAGCCTCTCAATGAGAAGAACTGAAACAGTGGCTACAACAATGGCTTCAAACATAGCAATGATTGTGAGCCTGGTCAAGATCTAGCAGTGTTTCATTCCGTTGTGCATAGGGTCATTATGAGATGGAACTCACTCCAAAGCACTTAACAACAACAGCGCTGTTTTTGTTTTGTTTTCCCTACAAGATGTGGCTAACAATTATACCTATCTCAAAGAATTCTGAGGATACTAAAAGCTAGCATGCAGAAGACACAACAAAGCCAGGTATTTAGTATCAGCGCAAAAAATACCAGCAATTATCAAGCACGTTTTATTAAAAAAATTATATGGTATAATTTTAAATGTGAGAATTTTAAATTATCTTGAATACACTGCTTTGGAATATCAAATGTAACTGCATGACTTTTATCAATGAACATCTTTTATAAATTCAGTAGCATATCAAACAAATTGAACTCTTCTCGAGTATGTGGTTATCCTCTAAAATAAGTCATCATCTTTTTTAGCTTTCAAGGACAAAGTGAAATAGTTAGATTTGGCTATTGACTGAATATATCTCACAGAAAATATATTGTGTCTGACCTTGAGATACTATGTCCTGCACTATGGTTGTGATCTAGCTGATCTGGTCAAATAAGTAGGAGAAAGAGAAGGCTTTCTACTCCCGAAAGAGTTAACAGTCTTCCCTTGAAGGCCAATAATGAGAGTAGTGACCCCATGAGGGTAAGGGGAAGGTGAGGGGAGAAGGCAGAGAAAGGGGAACCAATCACAATGATCAGTGTACAACATACACACACACACCCACAGGGAGACAAACAACAGAAACATGGGTGAAGTGAGACAGCAGATGGTGTAAAATATGATAATAAAAATCATAAATTATCAAGGGTTCATGAGGGGTGGGGAGAGAGGAACTGATACCAACAGCCCAAGTAGAAAGAAAATGTTTTGGAATTGATGATGGCATCCTATGTACTTGATACAACTGATATATAGACTATTAAAGAGTTGTAAGAGCCCCTCCAAAAAAAATGATTTACTAAAATTTAAAAAAGAAAAAACATCTTTATCATCTTGGAAACGCACAGGAGTTCTACTCTGCCTTACGTGTGACTATGAGTCCCCTATAGAGTCACTGACTGCTGGGTGCCAGTGAAGTGTTTTGTTTTGTTTGGGGGGGTCAAATAAATAAAAGCACTCTCCTTATTTTCTTCTCATGTTCCTTGAAAATAGTGTACTGAACAACAGGACTGTTTTGAGTTTGCTTTATTTTTGTTTCCCCTCCATATGGTGTGGTTCTTGTACCTTCCAGTTTCATAGATAGCGCTTCATGTATTATATGCCATGTGGATTTATACTTGCATTTATAGCACCCTAAAATATTCACTGTATTTAAATTTTTGGAAGTTGGACTTAGAGATCAATACAAAAAATACTTTCTTGGATGACTAAAAGACGTCAGTAACTTACCAAGTTTTCTCGTTCAATCCTTTGCTGGTCCCTCTGTCTGTTGAGAGCACTGTGATATAACTTCGGGGGATGACCAGCTGATCTCTTAGGAATTGTACTTTTGCTTCCTGGTTTTTCAGCCTGTCTGGACAGTTCTTTCAAAAGCCTTTGGTTTTCCAGGTCAATCTGCCTCACCTCTTCTCTTGTGAAAGAGTAGTTTTTCCTAGGTGCTACGGGGGGTGGATCCATGTGATGTCTTTGTGGTCCTTTTTTGTCTAACTGCAGGAAAGCTACAGAAGTAAAAATAAAAAAGACAAAATGGCTAAACAAAGTAGCAGAGCAATATAATGGTACAGGCACTGAAAACTATAAAATGTATCTTCTTATGTATATTGACATATATAATGCCTGTATATGAATCTAAATCAATAGTCCCATATAGTGTGTGTAGATATATATATACATATATATATAAATACAGTTATACATATTATGTAACTATATGAGAGGGTTTCACAAAGTCATGGGGCGAAATACAATGGAAGTGGAAAAGAGCAGCAAGGGGAACAAAGCAATGAAGTCCCTGAGGAATCCCCAAAATACTTTGGAGGCAGGGCCTGGCAACTCATCAGACTCAATAGGAAAACATTCATAAAGGTCAACAGATAGACCTGGAACTATTTATAGGCTTTTTTTTTATGTCTATCTATATAAGATGGGCAGGATAAACAATCCCAAGGAGAACAATGGGACCAACAGTTCTGGGGGACATGGGAGAGGGGGAGGTGGGGGAAAGGAACGGGGGAACCAACAAACTCAAGGACAAGGGAACAACAAGTGACCTAAAATTGAAGGCAAGGAGAGCATAGGATGCCTGGTGGAGTTTGAAGAAGTGCGATGTAGCCAAGAGGAATTATAGAAAGCCGAATGAAGGTTGAACATGATAGTGGGGGAAGACGAAAGTAAAGGTAAACAGAGGAAAGAACTAGGAGGCAAAGGACATTTATTACAGAGGTCTAAATACAGGCATGCACATATGTACATATATTTATATATAATGATAGGGAAATAGATCTATGTACATATATTTATATGTTAAGTTTTAAGGTAGCAGGTGGACACTCGGCCTTTACTCAAGTGTACTTCCTCAATGTAAGAACACTCTGTTTCAATAACCTGGCATTCTGTGATGCTCACCTTCCCAACCTGATCACTGAAGACAAAATGGGTGCACAAGTAAATGTGGTGAAGAAAACTGATGGTGCCTGGCTATTAGAAGATACAGCATCTGGGGTCTTCAAAGCTTCAAGATAAACAAGCAGCCATCTAGCTGGGAAGCAACCAAGCTCATATGGAAGAAGCACACCAGCCTGTGTGATCATGACGTGTCGACAGGATCAGGTATCAGAAGACCCAAAACAAACAATCATATTGATGCAAAGGAGAGGAGGCGGAATGGAGACCCAAAGCCCATCTGTAGACAATTGGACATCCCCTCACAGATGGGTAACAAGGAATAGATGAGTCAGTCAGGGTGCAGTATAACACCCACGAAACATACAACTTTCCTCGATTTCTTTAATGCTTCCTCACCCCCACTATCATGACCCCAAGTCTACCTTACAAATCCGCGTAGACCAGAGCATGTACACTGATACAGTTAAGAGCTCGCAACACAGGGAATCCAGGACAGATAAACCCTTCAGGACTGATAATTAGAGTAGTGATACCAGGAGGGTTGGGGGAAGGTAGGGGTAGAAAGGGGGAACCAATCAATAATCGACAAATAAGAGCTGATACCAAGGGTTTCAAATAGAAAGAAAATCGTTCTAAAAGGATGATGGGAACATTTTTCATACAAATGTGCTTGACACAATGAATGAATGTATAGATTGTTGTAAGAGCTGTAAGAGACTCCAATAAAATGATTTTTAAAAAGTACGTGGACAAATGGAATTAGTAGGTAATGGAATTGTTCCATGAACTTTTTGATATACAGTATACATGTTAAATTAGCATATAAATTAAAATAGCCCTATATTATTATTTGTATAGTAGTTATATACATACAGCTATATAATATATAGCATTATATTGCTGTATAGTAATGTTAATAACATCTAAATGACAAGTGTGGTGAAAAACAACCTAAGACAGCTTAGAATGGACAAATGCTGTCTTATTTATTTTCTGTTTCCCTGAGGCAGGTTCAGAGCTGAGTCATTAGAAACCTCTGATTTGAAAACAACAAAACAAAAAAAAAGAAACCTCTGGTTTGAATCCACTACTATAATTGTTTGCAGCAATTGCTAGTTGGAGGACATACTTCAAAATATAAAATATCCTCAGCAGTGACTGATAAAAGCAATGACTAAACAATGGTAATAACAAAATAGGATTATCTCTAACTCTTCATTTAATCTGAAAGAATTTTTTTTTTCAGCAATAATTTTTTCTACAAAAGATTATGGCTACTAATATTATCATTAAACTACTACTGAAATATGTGAATTATATGTCAATCAAATCATTTTTATTGGAAAAAATACTAAAGTCAAACATTTTATCTTTCATAAAAACATTATCAAAATGAATACATGAAATAAATTTTTAACCAAAAGAATTCTTTTCCATGTTATAATTATCAAATGGTTTTTTTTCACCAACATGCCTAAAACATTTCTAAAATGTCCAAATTATAATTTTCACTAAGTCCTAATTACTAAACATTTGTAAAAGGGTTCTAACACATTAAGTATGCTCATTTTTTAAACAAAAGCATGGTATAAGGTAAACTGATGTTTAAAAAAAGTACTTTTAACTTCAGAGTATCTTTGTTTAGACTAGTTTTTTTACTTATTTAATATTTATTTAGTATTTTACTTAGCATTTTTTTAGTTGTGTAGCTTTTGTTCTGTATAGATGAGGGGGTACCCCCCCAAAAAAACCCAGAATTGCACTGGGCAGAGCAAACTTTTTTAGTATGCATTTTTCCTGCTAGGCAAACATCAAGGCGTAGTCGGGAAAGTTCTCTGGTCCTTTGAATATTTTTGTTAAAGCAGTTTTGCTCAAATTTTGTTTTTTGTGGTCGCAGATTTAAGAGAACATGCAGCTGTGAAATTTTGTTTCCTGATAAGGAAAAATGCCACAAAAACTGCTGTTATGTTGAACACAGTTACAAGGGCAGTGCTATGGGAAAAACGTAAGTGTATGAGTGTTTTCCTCATTTCAAAAAAGGTGAAATGTTGATTGATGACAAACAGTGCTCTGGACCTCAGATGGAAATACTGACTTGTAGTGCCTTTGGAGTTTGTTCTACCAAGTCAAACTGTTAGCCATATTTTCTATTTAGAGGTTCTGAAAAGACAGCCTAACAGTGTGTGACAAAAAAGGCCTGATTTGTGGCAGACAAGGGACAGGTTTTTCCACCACAAGGCACCTGCTCACACAGCCATCTCAGTGTGCAAAACAGCATGCCTCTCTTACTACCCCATGCACTTACTCACCCGACCTCAACTGTGACTTTTTTTCTCCTGCAGGTGAAGGAGGTCATGAGAGGACAGCACAGAAGAGGTGAAGAAAAGAACGAGGCGGTGCTGTAGCCACCCAAATAGACGAGTTTGAAAAATGTTTCCAAGAATGTTATTGCATTTTTGACAAATGTATTAAGTGTAATGGAGAGTACTTTGAAGGTGATAAGGCTGTTTTGTAAAAAAATTAAATATATAGCTTTGAAAAAAATTTTCCAGTTTTCTTTGTATTCATCCTAGTGTTACAGAGGGAAGAGGCATTTTTAATCCCCACTTTAAAATGAGAATGGTACAGAAAAATTAAACCTTCCGGGTAAAAGCAGTAATAGTTAAGTCCACTTCCCAATGCTTAAATCAAAGACTATCAAAGATTATAAAATCTCATTTTTAAAAATGTAAGAGGCTTCCTAGGGTTTTAAAAGAAATGAGGAAATTTACAATTTTTAATTTAATTTTTTTTCAATGCTTACATGCATTTTTTAATGCTTACACGCATTAACATACCTACAAGGTCAAAACTCTGTGCCAGTTTACTTCCGGAGCCTTCTAATGCACTCCTGGTCAGAGCTGTCAAGGAATCATGTGGATTTATCTGCACATAGTACAAGTACACATTATTTTCCATTGCTGCCAGTGTTTTTATAGTTGCTAATTTTTGTCAACTATCCTGGTATTTCAGCTATGTTATGATAATCAGTATTTGTGAGACTATTATTAATAATTTTTTTAAAGAATAAAGTCCTAATTAAAGAAAAAGAGGAAGAGAAGTAAAAAAAGGTTTCTGTTCAGGAATTATTTTTTGTTGCAACTAATGCTGCTGTAATTCAATTTTAAAATGTTTAACAAAACAACTTTGTTAGTATTCAGAATAAATGATCAAAGAAAAAATTTTAAGTAATTTACAGATATATTTATCACATTTTATTCTATGATTAATGCTAATAATAAGATTCTGGTTCAGAGGGCGGGTACCCTGAGTTACTTCACTGAATGATTATCAACCATGGAGAAACCACTAGTGCTGTACAGATTAAATTATCTGGCTTCTAAGAAGTACCTATTTTGTAGAATTTAATAAAGTTAATTAACCATATACGCAAGCCTTTAAATTAAATTCTAAAAGAAATTAATAGTGAGCTAGTCTGTGTGTGTGTGATTTTAATTGTAAAATAAAATAAAGCTCATTCTTATGAGATGGTAACAGGCATATCTCCTCTCTCCAATCTTGTTACTAGTCCTGACACCAGAAATTCCCCCAACAGCACTCTCTACTACTTTGCTAGGTTCAATAATTCAGTGCAATGGCTAAACAGATACAGGGTTTTGTATGCATATAAGGGATTACAATTCCAAATCAGAAGCAACTGAGGATACAGTTATTCTATCAGGGCAGCTTCTCTCCAGTCAGGCCTTTCTCCCTGGCCCTCAGCCTTTCAGGTCAGCCTCTGCCCTGTGTTACAACTGTTCCATACAAATACATGTTTGGGGGAAGTGTTACAAAGCTCTTTAGTTCAATAAATGCCCTTGATGCACCTTACTCTCAGCCCAAAGGTGTTCAGCTCTCCCACTTCCCGGTAAGGGCCTGGATGGAGGTTATCTCATTCTGACCGGAAGCCTCCTGCCAGAAGGTGCTCAGCTCTCGTTACGTGAGTTGGCATCCCCACTGCAAACAGCTCATTGCTGCCTCATACCTGATTCTCCTGCCATCATTTCGCTGTTGTTGCTTCTCACTGTCTGTGATGTCACAGTTCTGTTTACTA